TGTGTGGTCTCTTGGGGAAGGGGTGGTGCAAATGGTGTAGAATTGGGCTGTGGTGAGGGTTGCACAGCTCTGTGAGTTTGTTAAGAACCATTGAGCTGCACCCATAAAACCCGGGAGGAGTGAGGTTGGAGATTTCCTCATGATGGAGCCTGAGATCCTGCTCTGCTTCCTCCCAGGGCTCCTGCCCAAACCCGTCCTCTGGGCCGAGCCAGGCCCTGTGGTCCCCCGGGGACAGCCTGTGACTTTCGTGTGCAGTTTCCCAGTTTGGGCTGAGTTCTCCCGCCTGGAGAAGGATGGAAAACATTTTCAGGGTCAGAAAATTTTGTCTCAAGATGGTTCGCTGGCGACAGAGTACAGATTCCACTTCCCCGCGGTGAGTGAAGACATGGCTGGGAGTTACCGCTGCCGCTATCACGATGTGCTTGAGAGGTGGTCTGAGCGCAGTGAGCCCCTGCAGCTGCAGGTGACAGAGCAGGACAACTCCACTCTGCCCTCAGGTGGGTCCCCGGGCCCTGCACCCTGTCCCAGCCCTGTCTCTGTCCTTGGGCTCCCTGCCCTCCTGCTCACCCCAAGCCCTGGGCTCCCCTCCCTCTGCACATATGGCCCTCGGCCTTCACCCCTGGCTCAGGGCCCTGGAATGTGGTCCCATCTGGACACCACGGTGGCCTAGACCCTGAGCCCTGCATCAGAGGGGACACAGAGCTGTCCTGCTGGGCTGGGTGGGGCCTGAGCTCCCAGCCACCAGGTGAGGACAGACCCCTTCAAGGGGCCTGAGTCTTTCCCCTCAGGATGGTGGTGCCCTGCCCTTTTCCCTGGCCCGGCTCAGTGGGGCCCAGGCAATGTGTCCCCTGGGGTCCACCCTCCAGGGGCAAGTCCTGTGCTCCATGGGGTCCCTGATAAGGGTTGAGCGGTGTTGGGGTATTTTAGGATGAGTCTGCCCCTGACCAGGTGTGTTCAAACCCTGAGATGTAATGGAGTCAGTGCCCAAAAGACATGGAGAGGGAGGGAATGAAAGAAGGAGGTATGGAGGGTGGGAGGGAAAATCCTTCCTTGAAAACCAAGTGTCTTCTCTCTCCTCTCTCTACATCCTGCAGTGACTCAGACATCCATAGGTGGGAGCACAGGACCTGTGGTCGCCCCCATCCACCAGGCCTGGGGGTGTCCACTAGTTGATTTTGACCCTGTGACCCTCCCTGTCCTGGGGGACTGTGGGTGGCACAGTGGCCGGGTGAGGTGAGCTCAGAGTCCAGGCCCTGTGACCCTGTGGCCGGGTCAGGGGGCTCCCACCCTGTGTGTGCATGGGCCAGGACCAGCTGCCTGTGGTAATGTAGGGAGGGTGCTGGGACGTTCTGAGGGGTGACCAGTCCCACAGACATGTGGAAGCAGAGAGAGTGCCACCCCAGGGTCCTCCTCTCCCTGAGCCCTTTCTGGGGGGTCTCCGGGGCGTCGCCTATACTGGGAGTTGCAGAGAAAGGGGCCAGGTGAGGGTGCTGTGGGCGGGAAAGGGCCAGGTGAGTGGGGCAGGCAAAGTGGACCTTGGGCTCAGTGCATGCCCTGCCCCTTTCAGGGGAGCCCCCGGGGACCTCAACTCTCACCCTGAACGTGGGCCGGGAGGGGGACCAAAGCCCGGACGTCCCTTCCTTGGACTCTGCTGCACAGTGGGCAGTGGGATGGCCATGGTCAGGGGCTCTGCCTCTCTCATGGTGGGGCAGTGACATTTATACCCTCAACAGCAAGAGACCAGTTCACCCCAGGTGAGTTGAGATCCAGGAGGGAGACGCCCTCGCTCCCCGCTGGAGTTTGATGAAATGCAGGTTTACTCTTTGCAGCTGGGCCCGCCCTGGGGCATCTAGGTGACTGGCTCTGGCACCTGGGGATGTGCACCTAGGGGTCCTGAGGTGCTGAAGGTGGAGGTATTTCTGTGGGGAGGGGGGCTGGGTGCTCCCCACGGAGGGAGGTTCCCTGCGGGAATCAGGAGGCAGGGCATCCAGAGAAGGGGAGCAGCTGCCTGAGACGTCCGTCACCCCTTCCTGTCTCCTAGCAACACCCCGTGCCGTCACCCGCCCACTAACAGAAGTGACACCTTCACCCAC